TTTTTTCATGCATGTTTAAGAAGTCCTTGAATCTCCTGTGGCAGCCATTCAGGGGTGCTTAAGTACTTGGTCTCACAAAGCATAGTCTATTTCTACAAAGCTCCTCTTTAATGCAGCAAAAGCCAATCAAGCTTCCAACTCACAGACCTTCTCTACCCCAGCCCTCCCCCACTTAGCTCCTCCAGACTGGCAGCAGCAGCAATTAGCAAACACGTGGAGGGACTGTAAGTCTGCTGAGCTTATAAAACTACTTCTTAGTTCAAAACTCCTAAGACCTAAAGAATGATCATTGTATATACAATATTTTATAGCAACTGAAGGTAACATAGTTACTTGACTATGCTATATTATCTGAATAAATACATTTTCCCCCCTATGTCTTGCCCTTTTATTAATAAACCCAGGAAAACCCTAGAAACAGCCCAAGATCCTTCTGATAATCAGAGTACCATAATTTGTACCAAACTAATGCTTAGGTAACACTAATCAACTGCTTGATGAGGTCTTAACAGCTCTTTAACAGTAAAAGCCTATTTGCTCTTTCTTTCAGCCGTCATTGCTCCATGAGGATACCAGCAGCAAGACATAAAAGGCTCAGAAACACTCCTGAAGGATGTACAGCCGAGCTGGAAAACCAGAATGCACTACTTCTTGTCTGATGTGCTGGATTTGTTGCTTCATCTGCCACTACTTTGTTTGGGGAGCTGGGGATCTGTGGTCAGGGATTACAGCAGGCCACAAAGGCAGCTTCTGAAGTAGCAGATAACTGCAAGCAGCTGTGTTGACAGAGAAGAAGAAAAGCCAGTAGTTGGAGACACAAACATCTAAATTTGTTAGAGGCATAAATTCAACCACTGTAAGGAACTCCCATACAATGATATGATGCTTTACTTTTACTGTCATATAAATCTACGTTTGTGATTATTATTTTGGAGCTTCTTACAGTTTTAAAGGGCTTCTCCACAGTCAAGCTAGTGTGGATTTAATGTTTACGTGCCTGATGCTGTTTTTCTTTTATAAGATTTACTAACTGGTTTGTGTCCTCAGCAAGATTCAGGTATGGGCCTTAACATTTTACAGCATTAGGAATTATAAAGACAAATGCATATCTTTATAAAGCTTCCTTTTATGTGCAATTGACATAAAGAAATGAAATATAAAAACAACTAACTTATAGTCGTGATGTAATTCTTTCCATAGTTTCATAAAATTATATGGCAAACAAAACACAATGTTGTTATGCCAATAGCTGGTGGTGGAAGGTGGAGCTGTGCCCTTCTGTTTCTGTGAGATAACTCAATAAGAAAAGACAGAAATAAAAACAAGTTTTGGGCAGATATAGTTCATCTGGAACAGGGCCAACAGCAGTGCACTGAGGAATGCATGCACTGAATGTGGCTGAAAACACATTCTGATAAGGTGTGAAAAAAACAAAAATTGAACACTCATATATATGTGGCCAGAATAAAGAACCTTGTAAATACCAGACATCCTGTTTTAGTGCTGGTGGTAGAAAAGGTTTGGGTTAAACATTAAGGGCAACAGCCTGAAATTTGTGCAGCACTAGCCAAAGGCAACTGGTATGTTACTGATAGAAATTTACAAACTGAATTTACTCATATTTTGGGCTTTTGGGCACATTTTGCCAGCATGTTTTTAAATTCATTTTTTTACTTACATAATTTAATTTCATGCTGCTCTGATAATGTTCTAAAAAAATTACACCTTGCGACATTATTGAATAGATGTTTTGTGTTTTATTGATGTAAAAACTGTGCATCACTTTCAGTGACAAATGCTCTGATTTCTATGCATCTATGCAAACTAGGGAGATTTTTTGAGGAGTGTTAGAAAAATGATACAACATGAGTTATGCAACTTAGAGACAGCATATGTTCTCCAGATATGCACCCCAACCAAGGAATTTATGCAAATGCCACTCAAAAATTGCAGCAATGACTCAATAACAACATTACTAAAACTCATTTCACTCTATTGCATATCTGCTTTGCGCTTCAGTGGTATGGGAAAATACAATGCCTTAGGTAAGTAATATTTCAGCATCTTCTTCCTACACCTTTGACCCTGTATCTCACACAATTTCACCGTGAGGTTGTCACTCAATCCTTGAACTTTTGGAAAATTTCTACAAAGTGAACATCATAGCTGTCAGACCTTATGCGCTGTGTACCATGAATAGAAAATCAAAGCAAGTGTGATTCAAATATTGCAGCAATAACCTAATAAAAATATTACTTATGATACACACTGGTTCAGGTTCATGTGTTTCTTTATTCAAAACGCTTGAAACTGAAACTAATACGGACATTATGACATTCTCTCTGATTAATTCAGATCATAATAATCTGACCACTTTTAAGGAGTCATAATGAATTGGCTTGTCATCCCCAAAAGACTGGTGAAAGAAAAGAAGGAAATGAGATGAAAATGTCAAAGCAAAAGTAAACCACACTCTTTTAATGCTACAACCTTTATACCAGTAAGCACAAACGTACTGGTATAAAGTTCGGCTGGACGGACAGAGAGACATATAATAACTTTGTCTCTTCATTTTAATATACCTGTCGTAGGCAGAGAAGTGTCAGTACATCTGAATGAAGCATATCAAAAATTAGATATAATTCAAAAACATGAAAGGTCTTGATGTAGCAAGAAATCAGCTTTTTTTTTTTATTCTTAGAGCTATGTAACATGAGATTTTCTTTGACATCATCTGATGATGTGAACACTTGGGGCGGGTTGTATGCTTGCATAAGTCCCCGAGACAACTCAGGCAGTCATTAGGTATCTTGGAAGGGGAGGTCAAAAAACAGATCTGACACTTTGCCATTATTGTGAATTAGTGGCGCTCCTATTTTTAGAACTACGAACTAGCCAACTTTGCTTTTAAGTGGGGAACGACAATCTTGGGGTCATTTAATGGCTCTATTTGGGGGTGAAATGAAAAAGAAATGGAAATCGGAAGGAAAGAATAAATTATCAAACCTTTTGTTTAATGAAACTGTGTTTGTTTTTTTGTTTTTTTAATCAGGGTCATCACCCTGAGGTAGTAAGTTTTAAAAATGTAATGAAAAGCTGTTATGGTAAACATTATTGGAATCATGCTTCGTCTTGATCATTGGTGTATTTTGTATCTATACTAACTAGTCCTTTTGCTATTATTTGTTCTTGTGCTGTTCAGTTCCACAGGAGGAGTGTATCAACACATGTTTAGATGCACATGCAAAAATACGTCTTTAACTACTAAGGCAAAAAGACAATTAAAAATGTGTTGTTTTATTGATATTACAGCTGGCTGCATGGTGGTTTCGTGTCTGGGAACTTTCTGTATGAAATCTGGAAGTTCTTTCCAATGCATGGATGGATGGATGAACAGATGGATGGATGGAAGGAAAGAAGGAAGGAAGAAAGGAAGAAACAAAGGAAAGAAGAAACAAAGGAAGGAAGAAACGAAGGAAGGAAGAAAGGAAGGAAGGAAGAGTGGAAGTTAATGGCTACTGTGCCTCCTGAGATACAAATTAAAACATATTTGCGCATGTGTTTAGTGTTAATACAAAATGTCAAATAATTTAAAATAAGATGTGTTTTTAAGTATCTACTCTGTTATTGTATAATCTGGAACTGCTTACTGGGTCACTCACCAACCTCAGTTGGCATTAAATATCAATGCAAAAAGCATAAATCCTGCTGAGGGTAATCATTCATGAGGAAAATCAATATGGGAATCTTGTCAACCCATCCAGATTACAAGGCATGATGTTGCTCTACTCCATTTCCATAAGGACGGCTGGACGGACAGACAGACATCTAATAACTTTGTCTCTTCACTTTAATATACCTGTCGTAGGCAGAGAAGTGTCAGTACATCTGAATGATTTTATACTGCTTGATCTTTCGTTCAGGGTTCACAGAGAACTTGAAGTGTGCATTCTTGCGGAAATATATAGCTTTTAATTATAATAATTTAGTCTTTCCAGGCAATTTGCCTACTTTTACACCATATAATTTGGAATATTTTAGTCATGTATGAAAAGAATATAAGTGATCCTTGATGGATACAAAAAAGAAAGACCAAGTATCTAATAATATCCAGGTTGTAGAATTTACACTTTTAGACTTTTTAAAAGTGTTTTCCAATGTTCATTGATTAAAAATCCGCCATTCAATTATTTATATTTAATTTTGCAATTTATTTTCTACATGTAGTACATAATATATTAAGATAATGTTTTGGGAGGCTTGCTAGCAAGCGTAGATTCCTAATCATGTCATTTGTAATGACTGCCACAGTTTAGTTATGGTTGTTTTATTTTCCAACTTGTTACTGAGATATATTCTTACATTTTAAACTTAATTACAAACTAAGAAGTATTTCCAGTTTCAAACCCAACTGTCAAAATCACCTTTCTGGAGTAGTATTGTTAGTCACTAAAAACACACACATTTTAAGCCATCATATTCATTTCTGACTGTTTTATTCTAAAAGTATTTGCTATTAATTAGAATTCACCTTTACATATGGGTTCACTGTACAAGCCATCTTGGCTGGTGTCCGGCAGAGGATGGCAAGTGTGATATTTATATGGGGTGGATTATGAATTAACATGTCAACTTAGTAAATGATAAAAATGATGCCATCCGAATTGTGAAAGACAGATTTTCAATGTTGGAGCAAGAAAGTTCGCCTTTCACTGGTATTCTGTTCAGACGTTTAAAACCTGTCAAAATAAGATCCGAACACCAACTGGGCTCAGTTTGTTTCATCAGTCCCGCTGGTGTTCCCGGACAGGACAGTGGGTGTGTTTGTGGAGGTGTGGGGCTGATGGATGGAGGTGGATGCTGGGGGTAGCATCCGCACCTATGACGTCAGCAGAGTTTAAAGTGGGCCGCGCTTCCCCCCGTGGAGAGGAGAGAGAGTTGGGAGGAGGAGGCGGAGGCGCTCACTCACACCTGACTTCTGCTCAGTTTGAACTCCACAAACTACCTGCGCTCCCACTTTCGGCATACGGAGCTCCGTGTCGGGCAGTGGAGGCACTAATTTCTGCTGTTCTGTGGGGCGACAACTTGCAGATTCAGGTTTCTCGAACGACGGTGAGTTTAAATGCCTTTTTTTTTGTCCCCAAACTGGGCTCAAAAAGAGGAGACCGATGGTGTGTGGCAGTCCCATCACTGCCAGCGTGTGGAAAACATCGCTCAGATGAATCTGTTTCAATTATTTATTTATTTATTTATTGTCGTTTTGTTCGATGTCACGTATAAACTTGCGGTGCAGTGTGTTTTGGCGCTGCTGCTGGTTTAGCTTTCTATTTGATTAGACTGTTGGCGAGTCTATCCCTGGAAATGTGTTTTCTCTGCCAGAGGAAAAGGCTGCATCATCCCAGAGTGTCCTAAAAATCTGATGCAGCGTGCTCGCAGATGTGATGTTTTCATCTGCTTCTCAGTCATCTCTGCCACGAAAAGTATCAGTTTAAAGATATGTTTATGGTATATATATAAATGAATTGGAGCAACTGGAGACTGACGTGTCTGAAATGTGTGGCAGGATGAATAATTAATCCGAGCTGCTTTATTGTCATCTTTTTGTGAGCTTTCCGGATTTCTGAGAAGTTTTGTGAATCTGGTTGATTCTTAAACTTGCGTTTTCCACCACATATTGCATGTTTAAATGGACATTTTTCTATGTCCACTTCATTTTTAAATCTTGATTAAATAAATGCTTTATTTTCTAAGACTTAAAGGATAAGCGGTGATTTTGGATTTAAAAATTAGACATGCTATGCCATTTCTGAGCCACTAGATGACAATAGAATTCAAGCTGAAGCAGCTGATTAAACTTGCATTAGTCTCCAACGAGCAGACACGCTCCACTGTGTGATAATGAAATCATTACAGAGGCTGAGTCCCTGTGTGGGAAAAAAATAAACAGCCCAAGATGGCCCCTTGTAAAATCTATGCTTTTTTTTTTCTCTTTAAACCAAATCCCAGATAAATGCAAACAACGCACATAAACACACACACCCACTCAATCAGAATCACTGCTGTAGATAGTGTTGTTTGGCCCTCTTTGAGCTGCATATATTACAGCACATGCTCTGCATGGGCTCTCTGCATTATAGCAATTTGTCATGAAGTCATTCATCGCTAATGCTTCTCGGCACTACAGCCATGCAGGTTTCATTTTGACCCTGAGAGTGACACTGTGCGTCTGCATTGGTGCAATGTTTGTTGTTGTAAAAAAGAATGTTTTAAATAACGCACTTTAAATAAATAAAAAGATTTCTAACTACTCTGGATAAACATTCTTAGTCTTTAATGATTTATTGTTTGGTTCCCCTCATCCTCACCCTCCCCACATAACTAGGCAAACAAAAAACATCCACAGAAATCCAAATAAATAATTCACATTATCGAAACTAATGTTTAACTTTTAAATATTGTTTGCCTTTGTATTAAGATGTTAGATGAGCAATCCCATTGTCATAACAGTTTCAAATCAATTATTAAAGTAATTTAAATTCTTACATTTTTGTGCTCTTTGGCTCATTGAATGGTTTATCATTTCAGTACTTTCAGAGCCAACGACTGTGGAACATCAATTCTCTCCTAATTTTTGTGAAGTTTTTATTTAATAAAGTACTTGTTGTTCTTTCTTTTTTTACCCCTCATGAACAGTCCTGACATTATGTTTATCAAAATGTGTGTTTCAGTAAACTTATTTTCCACAGTCCCTAATTAAGAACTAACAAGGCAATGCATGTTCTTATTCTCTTGAAATTTTATCTGAAAAATTGTCACACCACCAAACTCTTTTTTACTCTTTCCTTTGAGAGCAGTGTCGGATTACTGTGATAACGGATAAAATCATTTTCATCGTGTTCAATTAACTTTTTATTTTTACACTTTTTAAAGTTTCATCAGTATTAAAAAAATGAGAACAAAATTAACACGACCCTATTTTCCTTGAATTGTTGGATTATTTATAATGAAAGTCTATTTTGGAATCTCAGGCAGCCTTTCATTCGGTCTGCCGGGGCACAGCGTGAATTTGGTCACACTGTAAAGTAACTTGCAGCTTTAAACCCATCCCCTCAGGAAAAGTGACTTTTCATCAAATCTTGTGATTTGCAGGTTGTTGCTATAAACCACCTGGTGGTCCTTTGAGGTTGAAACTGTGATTCCAAATATCTTTTTTTTTGTTTTGTTTTTTTCCCCTCATCGATGGTGAAAGCAAATTGATACTCAGTTCAGCTTCAGCGGTTTCAGCTCTCTCAGGAGAGAGCCAAGGACAAAATTTGCCATTGAGATGTGAATTATGACATTATTTAATGAGAAGTGAGCAGACACCTCTGTCTTACTTTTCTGAGCTATTCCAAATGAATGGATCCTACAAGAGTGCAAAGGTTGCTCATGAATTTTATGAAGGTTTGCGTGTGCATGTGTGTGTGTGTATGTTTTACTGTCTAGTAAAGCCTTTCAGCTGGAAATTCCTATGTTTGGCTTAATCAATATGTTTAATTAGCGCTGATTAATGAAAGAGCAAGCCTGTAAAAGGCTGACAGCTTTTTTACTTCACCAGAACATCTTCTAATGAAAAACAGGGAAAATTGCTTTCCATGGTTTGGGGATTGGATCCTACACGTTCACGTGTTAATTTAGAGACAGAATCTGTGAAAACGGTCCACACTTTTAGATTTCTGTTTGACACATACAGGTCAGTATTTTCCTTCTTTTTTTTTTAATACATGCAATTAATGTTTGATCAGCGCCTAATTCAGACAGAAGCTCAGTAATCCTGTCATCTCTTACAAATTAAAGGATTTGAAAACACTTGCCAGCACATCGTATATGTTTCAAAATATGTTCTCCTTTAAGCCTGCTTCGGCCCCAGCAGTTTCTCCTATAGAGAGCTCCCAGAATGACTTTGACATTTTACAATTTTTACTATTAGAATTGAGTTAATTTTTTTGCTAGGGCAAATCTGAAAATGTCATTTCAGCATTGTATTTATACATGTCAATGGATTTTAATGAAATTGAAAATTGATATATATATCGCTAATTTATTTCAAAATATTATCACATATTGAATTGGTTTATTATAAACAGTAATATTTTCCATATATCTGCAAATGCTTTACAATTAATGAAACCCAATAATTCAGCTTCTTGAAAAAAAAAGTATTTTTGAAATACTGAAAAGTACATGCATGTACGATAACATTATATGCACAGCACAGTAATTGTCAGGGTACCTTTTTGCACTAATTACTGCATCAATGCAGCGCAGCATGGAGGAGTCTGAAGTGTTAAAAGAACCAGTTTAAAAGAACCAGGTTCTTTATTGCAGCTCATCTGCATTGTCTGTGCTGCCATCTCTCATCTTTTCTTGACTCCATAAATTCTCTTTGGGATTTAGGTAAGTCAGGCTGGTATATCCACCCATCAAGTACAGCGATACTGTGATTATTAAAGCTAACATTGGTACTCTTAGCAATGTGAAAAGAAGCTCAGTCCCGATGTAGAAGAAGAAAATGCAATCAACAACTCCGTAAGAGTTCGAGCAAATGGAAACATGAACAGCTCTCCTCTCTTCCTTCAAACTCTGGGCTTTTCCTGCTGGTTATGCACCTTTAATACCACATGTTTTTCTTCCACTCAACTTTCGATTAATGAAAGTTGAGTGCATGGATAGAACACTATGTTCGCAACCTTTTATGACCTGACCTTTTATGCTTTTACCCTGTCAAGTCAGCAGTCTCTCATACGATGGTGTTGGCCATTAGGGCTACAGCGCAACAAATCTGTGTTGAAAATCCCCTTTTCTTGCTATTATGCAGTATTCTAATATTTTGAGGAAATGAATTCTGAGTTTTTATAAGCTGTAAGCCATCGCATCATCACAATGAAGAGAATAAAATTGAAATATATGACTTTAGATGAGAAATCACTGTAAAATAAGTTTCACTACTTCAGCCAAAATTACCAAAGTAACCTATCAATGACATTCTAATGCATTATGACACATCTGTAAATATAATATTGATTTTCCAGATTACATGTGAACACCTCAATAGACTGTAATATTTCAGAGTAGTTTCTCCTAGTTTGGTATCGTTTCTCTGTCAGATTTTCTCAAAAGTAACAGCGAGAATGACCTTTATTCTGCAAATGAAGCTGTTTTTGCTCAGCAGTGACTGATAGATCTTATTATTTCAGCAAAAGTACTATGAGCATTCAGCAAATACCCTGGAGCCATAGCAACTACATTAACAAAAGTTAATGAAATATTCGGAGGCAGGAGTCAGACTTTTCTTTAGTTCTGAAAGCTGTGGCATTTACATTTTGAACTGTAGAGAGGGAATGAAAACAATATATAGTACTGCATGCACCTGCATCTCATCTGTCCTATATGTAGACAAATTTATGCATTGCCTGAGGGGTGTAGGTTTTTTTTTTTTTTTTTTTTTTTTTTTTTTTACCGGAAAACCTGCAAACGTTTGTAACAAACACGTTTTTTGAATTAGCACAAATTTTTCTTTGAGTGTTGATCATCAAAGCAAAGTCATGGTTGTGCATGTTTTGCATCACAACATGGCTGAATGAATGCAAAGTGATGCTAAATTTTAAAAGCCACAAGGTTTTGCTCCTTAAAACAGCTTAGCTGGCTGGCATTGAAAAAGAACACACGCAAAAAAAAAAAAAAAAAACAAGACGTTTGCAATTTAGATTCTGCTTCAATTGCTGTCCCAGAGGTCTGGCTGTGTCTGCATCTGATTATGCTTGCATGCATTTAATTAATAATTTGACAATGCGTGGCATTGATGCTGGTCAGCCAACACGCTGCGGAGGAATAGATTGCCTGAGCTTGATATCCAGCCATGGTCTCTTAGCGAGGCACAGAAATGATGAGCTCAGGCAGATTTCAAATACTGAAGATGCAGCGGGGAGCTACGTTAATCCCCCACTGCCCTCCCTCAGGTGCAGCTCAGGACAGGAGCGCCATGGACTACAGCCCGCCATGGACAATCAGGTGATCCCTGATTAATGCACTGATCAGTTCTTTTCTGGTTTGTTTTAATGACAAGCACGTCC